TTTAATTTTAAATCTTTCTTATGACTTGTATTTAAATGAGCATAAAATTAAATGAGTATGGAAGCCTTCAATATTAATTAAATCAGACTTTAAAAAAGTCATAATCTTAAGAATATATATATTTATTTTAACAATAAATGTATATTTGGTTTAAGAATTTAAACCCAAATAAAACTAAATTTTAAAAGATCTAAATTCAAATAAATGTACAAGATTCAATTACCTAACTAAAGCTACTAACTTCACAATTTTATTTATTTTTATTTTTTACATTAAGAAAAAACTGCGACCTAGCACTTTTTTTCCCCAACCTAATACAGTGAAACCTTTATTTCTGACTGATTTTTAAGGATATTTATAATTTTAAAAAATATCTGGAAAACAATGACCAAAAATTAATCCTTAACTTGAATAATGCTAAAATAATTACAAAAAATCCAGAGATCAGTGAAAAAAAAATTTGATGAGCTACAATATTTTAAGCCTTTCTTGTTATTTTTTCTACTTTTTAATTATTTTGTGACATTTCACAGATTTGCCAACTATCTCAAATTCAAGCAAGTTTTAGTTCTGTTATAAGTATAATTTATCTAAACAAATTTAAAGTTCTATCATTTGTGATGTACATCATTAGTATTTTATCGCTTTATTTATTAAGTCTTTATTAAAATAACTGATTTTAAAAAATATGTAATTTAAACAATCTAATAAAAATATACTGTTTCCAATTATCCAAATATATATGAGCAAAAATTGATGATTTCAGTGTAATTAAAATTCGTATTCTAGAAAAATTGGGTAAAATATTCTTAAATAAAAATGGATAATTTGGAAGTATTGATCAAAATATATGAATTAAAACACTGAGAATATGTATTTTTTAAACATCGCAGCTTATTTGAGCACAAACTGATTATTTTTCAACTGTGAGAAGTAGAGCTGTATAGATAAAACATTAGGCTCCAAACTTTTCTGAGCCCTCAACATCAGTTCAACCATATTACTCAACTTTCATTCTGAGTAATGTTCTATCAAAAGTATGACTAAATCCTAGAATAGTATTCATTATCTAGGATACTGTTACTTAATGAAATTTTTCTGTTATTTTATGAAGACTCCAAACTTTTTCTGGTTCCTCAATGTCTGTTTATACTCAACTTTGATTCTGAATAATGTTCTATCAAAAGTATGACTAAATTCTAGAATAGTATTCATTATCTGGGATACTGCTACTTAATGAAATTTTATTTTAAATTACCTACAATATAAGATTTTTTTAATGCAAAAATTGATATTTTGGATTATATTAAATAGAAATTTGTGTTGTGTAGATCATTTTACTTATCAAACTTCATATTCTTTAAAGCAATCTTTTAATGTAATTAATTTAAAACGCCAAAAATATGTGTTTAACGTATTTATCGGGGCTCCAACAGGTCAGGAAAAACTGGAAATTTTAACTCTAAAAATCAGGGAAAGCTGCTGCTTTTTTTTTTCCTCCAAAAACCTGGAATATTTTTATGTCATACCTAGAAAATAACCAGTCTTAAAATTATTCGTAACAGTAAATAGTTATTGAGATAAATAATTCTAACATCTATTACAAATATTTGTTGTAAATATTCACATTTTAGTCAAACTTAAATGTTTCTATTCTCATTTAATGATATTTTTTGTCCAGAAAATCTAATATTTTATATTACATATAAAAGAATCAAAGTTTTCTGATGAAAAAGTGGTCTCGATTTTCATTGTTATTTACTTGGTTATACCTGGAAATGTTAGGGTATTTTTTTCTGAAATTGATTAGGAACCCTGTTTATTATTTAAGAAAGAAAAATTATTTTTATGAAGAGCATAAATGAAATCCTTCAAATTTATCAATTCTGCTTTGCAGGAGAATTTATATTGTGGATTATGGATAATTATGGTTTAAGCAGCTCTACTGTGTTTAAATTTTTTGCTCAATTAGAAATATATATATTTCTTTTTTAAAATTAAATTTTATTTTCATATTATTTAAAATGACATACTTTAACTTAATTAACTTTGTGATAAGGTGTAATGCAAATATTTATCATAATATTCATTACAGTTATATGTTAACAATTAATAAATATTTGTTTAAATAATTTTTTATGAGATTAAAGACATTTTTCTTTTAACCTATGGAACCAACTTTAACAACAGTTGTTGGTATCAAGCAACGTTTTTCGACTTTGATTTTTAAATAAAAAATTTTCAGGAAGAAAGATTAATTTATTATCAATACTTTTTTTAACTATTTTGAAACCAATTGAACTCTTTTTTAGCTCGTTCATAAATTTGATTCTATGTTATGTAGATTAACATGTAAACAATCGATAAAGACCTGACAGAGCTTGTTTTCGCTGCTTGGCGATGTTTTTATTATATAATATTTTATAAGTATAAGCTCAAATAAATTGCATTATTTCCTATTTAAGGCTCCTAATTTTATAAGTAAAAGAAATCTTAACATATTTCTGTAAAGTTTGCCTATTCAGCATCTTAGCATAAAAAAACCTTACAATGACAACACATGTTTTTTAAAGCAGTTAACATGCTGTTTTATATAATGAAGAATTATAAGTGAAATTATTGTTCTTTGGATTGAAAAATACTTCATTTTTGAATTGTCTTCTTTAAAATCATTTGTGAATATTCTGCATTTATAGAATTTCCTTCCTTTAATAATAATAATAATATTAAACTAAAACTTTTAATTTTTTTTTATTTCTTAGAAAAAAAAAAATTTTCTTACTACTCAAAATGAAAAGTGTAACAAAGTATTTTCATTGTTGAATTTTCTATTGATGTTTTAAATTTATTTTTAGTAAAGTTACTTTTTAGTTACTTATGTTTTAAAATATGAAAAATTACGGATTTTTGGAAGCTTCTGTGATAATCTGTTTCAACTAATTTGTAGTTTTTAATTTCATACCTTTATCTAAGCATTACATATTTGTTATTTTATAGTAAATTCATGCAAAATTTTATTAATATTATATACTTTCATTGAATTAATAAATTAATAATTATATACACTTTAAAATTGCTCAAATAGTACATACACCTTAAAGGCCTGTCTACATGATCTAAGTTCTTGAATATGAAAACTTGGAAGAGAAATTGGATGATTAGAAAGAGGAAGAAATTGGATGATTTGCTAGATTAATCAGATAATTTACATTGCTAGTTTTTATAATTTTATTTAAATCATTGACGCTGCAGTACATGTTAAATTTACTTTTCATTTTTAATAAATTGTATAATTTTTAAAAATAATATTTTTTTTATATGTATAGTTATATGTATTAAAATTTTAAATTGCAGTATAACCAGAAGTATAAAATAATTTTTTGTCGTTTGAAGCCATTTGTAGCCAGACTGTAAATGTCTTATAAATTGCGATATAAGTAATAATGGCCTGTAATAAGATCTTTTTCGCAATCTGAACTAAATTTAACATAAAATCTATTTTAGGAATAAGTTCTGGGTGTTAGTTTTTTTTTTTTTTTTNGGATGTTACAGTTTTTTTTTTCTTAATTACGTATTCATTGCATGACTTCAGACATTTTATTCAAAGAAATTTAGAATGTCTTTTTAATTAACTACCAATTCTATTTCCTTTTCAAAACTATCTTAAAATTCTAATGTATTGTTCATTTTGCAAAATAAAATTTTATGCTAAGTAATTATAAAATTTGTTTCTGGAATTCAAGTATTATATTAGTTTTCCAATTTCCTCTAAATTACTTAATTTGAAGTTTAGTATATTATTCATAAAATTGTAGTACATCACCCATCATTTTTTTTCTAAAAGGAAGGAGAAATTTATAGTCTTCCTCTAAAGTTAATGTTTTAAAATATGAAAAATTACGGATTTTTAGAAACTTCTGTGATAATCTGTTTCAACTAATTTGTAGTTTTTAATTTCATACCTTTACCTAAGTATTACATATTTGTTATTTTATAGTAAATTCATGCAAAATTTTATTAATATTATATACTTTCATTGAATTAATAAATTAATAATTATATACACTTTAAAATTGCTCAAATAGTACATACACCTTAAAGGCCTGTCTACATGATCTAAGTTCTTGAATCTGAGAACTTGGAAGAGTTTCTCTCTCCAAGAAATTGGATGATTTGTCGACACTATCGTAATTCTTGAATGTCACTGATTGATCGGATGAAAAACCTGTACATGTGCATTGTTCATATTCAACATTATCAAATCATACTTACATGAATTTAAAATTACTGAATAAATTCAAATAAAATCGTAATAGCACAAATAGACCATAGCATATTAATTTATTAGAACTTAAATGTATGAAAACGGACATCAAAATGGCTTAATGTGATGTCTGCTTGTTGACGTCACAAAACTTAAGAACCTGATTGCTTCTTTGGGGAAACCTAGGATGGAAAGTAGAACATGCTCTACTATCATCCAAGAACTTGGATCATCGTTAACAGGATCCAAGCTCAAAGCAAAACAAGATTCCATTAATATCAATCAATCTTCGTCAAAGAACTTGGATTGTATTAACAGGCCTTAAAATTGCTCTAATTTGAATACCGTAAACAATTTCCCATTTAGTTCTGATTACTGATACCTAGCTTAGAAAGTCTACACTTCTGAAATAAAAAATAAACATTATTTGGATTAATATAGTTTTCAGAAATATATTGTGTAAACTAATAAAAATTTATTTGAAAACTGGGGGAAAAGGTGAAGTTGGCAAATCTATCATTAACTTAATGTTTCTTTGTCTTAAATGTTCCATTTGAGAAGGAGTGATAATTGTACTAACTAGAAATCCTTACTTTTTTTCTTTCCCAATTCCAACCTTGATCTGATGCTGTTGATGGTCTTCCAATTTGTGTTCTTTGATGCAATCGGATCTTTACGTTTTATAAACTTTAAAAAACAATCATCTGTATATCGTCTACTTTGTGAATTTGAGTAGCGTCCAACTCGATTTGACAAGCCGCCACCCATGGGCGATGCATTTCTGCCCCCTGGAGATCCATTAGCTGAGAGGCCTGCTGGTGGTTTAGATGAACATGGTGCCATGAGCGGTATGCCCAGGCCTCCCCACGAAATGATGGAAAACATGGATTACTATGGCAAACGCCGCCGATATTAAAAAGGATTTTTTTTTTCCTTATTGACTCTTATTAGCATTTGTCATTTATTCTATGTGTTTAGTATGAAAGCACTCGCTGGATAACTAACAAGCATCCCTTGAGACCAATTACGACTGTAACTATTTATCATTCATTAAATATATACAATAAAAGTTTTAATGTAACTAATTCTTGTATCATTAACTCCTTTGTTTGTAGTTTTTTACCTTCATTTTACTCCAGTGACAGTTTACATGAAGTTCCTGTCAACCTATATAGGATATTTGCTTGGTAGAGTTGAGTCGGGTTCAGCCTGTCAGACCTATTCGATGGCTCAAACATGTTTTGAGGGTCGTTATGGAATTGTTATGTGGAATGTACTCGTTATGGAATTCTCATATACCTTCTTTCTACTTTCAAGCGAAATAAATATGTACAGTGCGACTTTCAGGAGAACTCCTCCAGACATAAGTCTGGCTTCATGGCAGGTACCATAGTTATTTTGTAACTGTCATTGAACAGCCGACCTAATTTTATGGATTTTACGACTACTAATGTTCAACTCTGTAACCTTGTAATTTTGAACCCAATCCAGAAAGCAAGAGAATTCCTTGATCGAGTATTGGGAGGAATTAGCCTCCGTGGAGGACTTTTTGATGGAGCTAACTCGCATTTACGTTACATGGAGAGGAAGTCCACGGGAACCTCCCACTGTTAGTCTGGCTGCAAGGGGACCCACTGAAGATATTTCATGTCGGTGCAAGCCAGATGCGGAATTCGTAATGACTGGTCAGCGTGAGTAAACCAATCGACACCTTCATTTCTCCATTGCCCTCCCCCCCCCCTAGAAATGTGCTCTCGCTTGTTGCCATTGCAGCAGACAGCCCCAGACTTTTAGTCTGGAGGAGTTCTTCTCAAAGCCGCACGATAACTGTTACTGTGAATGACCGAAATTGGTGGTTGTGGACGTCTGGTGAATGTTGATAATCACAGTGGCTTTGGTAAATGTCCGAAATATATACTAGATCTAGTTAAATACTACTGCCCGGTATACATTTGCCCAGTCTGCCCTACACTGTCGTTTTTTTAAGGTCAAATGCCTTTGCTCAGTGTACATTTAACCGGTACTCCGAACAATAATGATTCTCCTAATCTATCCTCAGCAGATATTAAAATATAGAATAAATATAATATCAACGAATAAATTAATATCAAATCGGATATAATAAATATTTTGGACATTCACCAAAGCGATTATGTGATTGTTGACATTCGCCGGTGAAAGTCGACATTCTCTTGATTTTGGTCATTCTCGGTAACATAACTGTTATATGGTTCAATTATTAAGTTAAACTATTTAATTGCAGTAAATGTCATAATACAAAAATATGTAGCCTCTAATTAAGTATGGTATATCAGCACAAAATTTGGCCTTATGCCATTTAAGGAATATTGATCTTTATGAAATATGTTAAAACTCTTGTTCTGAAAGATCGTGTCAATCTTTGAGCTCCTATTAAGAGTAATTTTTTTTTCTGTAAAATTAAATCAGAGCTCATCTCTATCACCCGCTTAGAATCCGGGTCAATAAATCATAATGTTAAGAAAAATCAGTTTTGAATCAGTACACAAATTGATTTAAATCAGTTTCTATTTGTTTTTAAATCTTTTTAACACTTACTAACTAAATTATTTGATAAAAGGATTGTAATCACTACTATTTTAAATTATATCTTATAACAACAAGGCTTTTATTTATTTATTTTTTTTTATTTTTTTTTTTTTTTTAAGCTTTTGGACGTCTGAAAGTTGATCCTAGCTCATCTCTACTACTCACTTAAAATTAGGATCAATAAATCTTGAAAAAATTTATTTTTCCGATTTATTCTGTTTAAATAAAATTTATTTATTTATTACATTTACCAACCAAATCATCTGATAAAATTATTGTATATCTGAACAATCTTTGACTTTATATCGTTTAAGAATAGTGGTGTTTATAGTGGTAAAATGTAGATCTTTAAGCTCAAAAAGCCTTTGGACTGTCAAAAGTGGATGCGAGCTCATGTTTACTGCTGACTTAAAATCTGGGTTACTAAATTACATTTTTAAAAAGAAATAAGTTTTTTTTTTTTTTTACNTTTTTTTTTTTTGCATTTACCAACCAAATCATATGACAAAATGTATTAATAATACTTATTATTATTTATAAACAATATTATAGCTAAATTTGTTTATATTACTTTCTAAATTAGTTAATATTTTTATTAAATTGTTACAAACTAGTCACTGAATAACTAAAATCTTACTTAATTTTTTTCAAACTTAATATTTTAAGAAGTTTTTAAGGACAGGGAGACAATTTACCAATTAGATATCAAATGAGAGAGAAAATTAGTTTAAATCAGAAAACATAACGGGAAAAATTAATAATTTTAAGTTACTCTGGGTTGAACAAGTTTTTCTTCATTAATGATATACACTAAATACATATTTCTGGGTTGAACAAGTCTTTTTTTTTATAATTGATATACACTAAATACATATTTCTTGGCTGAACAAGTCTTTCTTCATTATTGTTATACACTAACTATATATTTACCAAAAGTTTTAAAAGCTCTTGTATTCAAATAAACACAATAAAGATCTTATTTTTTATGGTTTATTAGGGTAACGTTTGCGATGGCTGCTCGATACGAATTCCGCACCGAGCTCAGTGCTGACGAAAAATATCCTCAGTGGTAGACGGATCATGGGTTAGAGTCCTCTTGCCGTCAGGTTATCCGTTGAAGTTTTTCGTGGTCTTCCTCTCCATGTAACAAGAATACGGGTTTAATTCCACCAAAAAGTCCTCAACGGTGTCAAATTTTTCCCAATACTTGATCCAGGAGCTCCCTTATCTTCTGGATTGGGTTCAAAATTACAACGCTACGGAGTTGAACATTGGTAAATGTAAACCCAAAACTGGGTCGGCTGTACAACGACGATTAGAAAGAAGAAAAAAAACATTCAAAAAGTTATTACCTGATTAAAAACTTCATTCGCTGCGAAAAATATATAAATGACAAATAACATTCGGCATGTTTCAAGTGCTTCAAAAATAGGCGCCTGTTTTCAAAACTTGCCTGACGAGAATGATAAGGAAGAAAAGTGATTTGAAATAAAAAGCGTAAAGTTGCCAATGACCAAACTACGGTGTCTGAGAAGGGCAAATCAGAGTAAAATGCATTTCCACGCGCTATGGAGAGGTGGTGATGATCTTATGTCGTTATCAAAGGAATAAGCATTCATATAAGTAAAGCAAGATTCCAAGGTGATGTTATCTGTTAAAAACAAAGGTAAAATGTTAAAAAATTGTTATTTTTCATAATTATTACGAAATGATCACGTAATGATGTCGCAACGCAGTGTAGGAACGGTTTTGATTGAGCTTCAAATCGCAGCATGCTTTAACAAGACTTGTACTCTTGTTGCATCTAAATTTGCTTCAGTTTTTATTTTTCCTAACATTTCGAAATGCTGGCCCAAAATTAAACTAGGTTTATTTATTTATTTTTTGAAAGGGGGGATTTATAGACATGGGACAAAAGATAAAACGAATTTCGAATTCTTAAAACATCAAAAACAAGAAAAATATCGTTCAAATGATGAAATTCTCGTTTATTCGCAACTCAATTAGTACTTATGGGATCTCTCTGGTCCCATACCTCAAAAATAAACTTACCAACTTAATGCATTACAAAATTAAAAGTAAGAAAAAGAATACGAAAAAAATTATCAAACAGCAGCTGTCGCCATAGCAACGCATGCGCACTGTTTACTATTACTCTTGAACACAGTCGAAAAGTGTGGTGACGTCTAAATAAGGTGCGCACGCCATCAAACCCGAAACAACACCCATTTTACCGATGGGTATTAATGGTGAAATGAAAAATAACTGGAGACATGAATAGCTTCATGAGAAAATAAGTAGTTTATTTTTCAGTGATTGCTGTAAAAAGATGTACACAGTTAACTATTATATTTATTTTGTTCGCTGTAAAAAAATTTTTAATTCGTTGATTTAATATATGAGCGTACATAAATATCTTGAAATCTTTAGTATTAAACTACAGGGATGAGATTTTTCCGCTTTTTCACTTCTGTCTCTTGAATTTCAGCCTTATTATCAAAAACTCCGATTTTCTAAGTTTCAGTTTTTTAAATAAATGTTTCGCCTTTTCTGAAAATTAAGTCGTTGAAATAAAATAATTATATTTATTTCCGATTTGATATATAGAATATAATATATCGAAAGATATATTGAAAATTCAAACTACATAGCTGCTAACCCTTCTACCTATCTACTTATTTTAGCTTTTACGAGCAGAAAATAAGATTTTCTTAATTTTCCCCCTTCCGCTACATAGCTCGTATTTTAATATCAAACATCGATTTTCGTATTTACCTGATTTAAAAATTGTTCACTGCGATTCTTATTCACGCGATTTCAATATCGTTCATTGCGTTTCTTATTTACGAGATATAAAAATCCAATAACGCGATTTGTATTGAGGCATTTTTAAAATTCTATGTAACGATTCGTATTCACGGCGAGTTTATCCTATGTCGTGATTCATTTTTGCGGTTGTAATATTCAACATCTATTTTCGTATTTAAATGAGATTTAAAAATTAGCCTTTGAATTCGTATTCACGCCATTTAGAAATTATGCATCGTAATTCGTATCTACGCGATCTGAAAATTACGCATCATGATTTGTATTTTCACATTTTTGAAATCCAATCTCGAGTTTCATTCACGTGGTTTCTATATCATGATTTATATTCACGCTATTTTAAAATCCAAGATCGCGATTCTTGTAAAAAGTAATTTTTTTTTTAATTAGTTTCTATAAACGTACAGTTTTTCTATCGACGATTATTGCTATATGTAGGCATTACAACATCAGCGAAACTGGATGAGAATATGTTACTGATATTTTTGCTATAAATCACGATTTACTCCCATGAAAATTCAGCTTTTTTGCCTTTTGGCCACTCTCATCCCTAAATAATAAACTGTACGAGTATTTACTTGTAAGTTATTTATACCTGCGGTAATATTCATTTTACTACTTTGCTTTGATACAGGTTTTGGACATAGTTGTAAAATTCATTGAAAAAAACCACTTGCTACCGTTCTCTTGA